ATTCTAGCAAATGGATAATTGAAAAAGGAATATGCAACATTTCCAGTGATACGACTCTTATTTCTTATAATGTCCTCCTTAGTGTCCAAAGAGAAAAAGCCCAAGAGTGCATGGTTTCGATTCAGAAAGGAGAAGCAGATTTGGTGAACTTAGAAGCAGGGCTTGCTTATACTGCATTCATCAACCACTCAATGAAAGCCATAGCCAGTGAGATGTACTGTGACCATTCCAAAACCTATGAAGCAGTAGTAGTAGTAAACAGAAGGGCATGTGAGAGCAAAGAAAAGATCAGTTTAATGGATTTCAAAGGCCACAAGTCTTGTCATGGAGGTTACTCCACAGCAGTTGGATGGAACTACCCCATCAATTACATTAAAAATTTAATTAACAGTGCAGAACAAGATGGCAGGAAAATTGAAACTAATTTTTTCTCTGCTATCTGTGCTCCATCAGAGGTTGAAGGTCTTGATATATGCAGTGCATGCAGCAAAGAGAATGAAACCTGCTCTGAAAGGGGTAAATACTCTGGTCATTCAGGAGCTTTTAGGTGCCTAGTAGAGGAATTGGGAGACATTGCTTTTGTCAAGAGTGATACTGTATTGCTCTATTCAATGGAGGGGCCTCATACCCAATTATGGTCAACAAAGTCTGTTAGGGACTTCATGTAAGTATCTTCCCATATGCATGTTTTACATTATACGTGACAGAGAAAATGTGTGTCAAAACATTCGATTGATTAACTGCAGGTATCTTTGTCCGCAAGGAGGGTGCAGAGAAATCAATGGCTATCCTGGAGATTGTTCGTAAGTTATTAACACTCGGTTCATGAGTTGCCTATAAATCCTTGCTTTGATAATGTCAACTTTAGTTTTACCTGCATATTCTATGAGAAAATATGGATTCCAGATAAAGCTTCAAGATACACTATACTCAAGTGAGTTTATCCTGATTCATAACCAGATTTGGAGCCGTTCCTGCAGATGTGATAATGGCTCATAACTCGATGCCCAACAAGAAGAGAGAGCATATTTTGGAAACATTAACGAATACTAGTTTGGCGGATGCTCTTCATGCCCCCAACAATGTTCGCGGCCACTTATTTAGTCCAAGGTAAAATAGAATATCTTGTCATAAGAACTTCTTTTGCTAGATTAGTACTGTGGTCCCAGCAGGTTTTAGTATTACAGTGTTATACCATGTGAGTTAAACTTGACTTAAAAGTGAAATCCCAAAAGGTTCCTATATGTAGATATCTGGATGAAAACAGTACCTAAGTACAATGATAAAAGGACTGTCTCAAAAATTCAACCCTTTCTATGCAGTACCCAAGGACTAGCCATGATTGAAAAGATCACAAGGCTATATCTGGGGAAATCAGCTTCAATCTCACAGAGCATACAAAAATTGAATTCCCCAGAAACCGGAGCCAACTCATATGAAGCAGATAACGGTTCTGGTAAAGTCTAATTTCAGAATACATTTGGAGTAATAAATCCTAGATCTATTGCTGCACTAACTTTATTCCAACATATGCCTTAACAGAAGAATCTTCTTCATCTTCTTACATTTGCTGTTCACAAGTAATGACTATGCTCGTACTCCTGATGTCACTGCTGATACTTGGAATACTCACTCCAAAATAGAACAAAAATTGGTATTATTCTATTCATATGCATTACAAATTACTGCAGGTACTATTTTTTTTTTTTTGTGGTAACATTGACAAAAAACTAGCATGACGAGCTCCGAAAAAACAAAAAAGACATGGTTTTATATTTAATTCCTTTACTGTATCTGTAGGTTTCAATAACGAAAAGTAGTACTGTTCACTGAATTCTTACCTTGATATTGGAATTGAGAAAATTTGCCAATTTCAAATGAAAACTATTAACTTTTTCCCATTTAAGTTTATCACCTTGT